ATACATATCCTGCTTTAAAATAACAAATTTCAAAATCAGTTTTTCAGGGGAAAGCTAAAAATATCCTGCGATTAGTTATAGCGGAAAGGCAGGCCAATCACATAATGAAATCGAATTGCAGAAATCTGTCTTCGTTGTTATTGTTCGTGATTAAGCGTGGTCACAAAACTATGTAAATTTAAATTGCAGATTATTCGTGTGATGAAACATTTGCTCGTCGAGTCCTTCTGTCGAACGTTACCATCGACGCGCAAAATTGTAACAGCAGAAATCTATTTTTTTTTTCTCGCCAACTGCAACGGGAAAATATCAAGTCTTAACTTGAGATGTCGATATGTTTGGGCATGTCATGGAGCGCAAATACCTGCAACGGGAACTTGACTTCAGGTAACACTTACAAGCACGTGCTTCGGTAATGTTTCCGGAGCTAACGTCCTTCTTGAGGTAAAGAAGAATTTGTGAATTCCTTGTAACTTTTACTCTCGGAAAACGTAGCGCTGTTAAGTGTTCACTCGTTTATTTCTCGTTCAATCGAGGAACTGTTGTGCTACCCTCATGAATTCATTTATGCCCTGGGCTGTTTAGTTTTTTATATTTCAAAATAATTATAAAGAAGCCAATTTGGTTATAAACTGATTGGCAAGTATAGTTAATTCGTTGAGTCGTATAAAGTCATCTCACCCGCAATGTGCTTACGAACAGTAGACTTCCACTATTGTTGTTCCAATATCAATTGTGAATGGTTTTGTTAAATAATTTTAACTGCTAAACGGAAGGCGATTTTAAGAAATTGCATGCTTTGGTAACACGCGAAAATAGTCAAAAATAAATAATTCAAACAAGCTTGATTATTTTCCAGGAACGAAATTACGATATATAACAAAGAATCAAGAGGATCTGTTAAGACACAATTACTTCAGGTACCTTTCAATTTGATGTTCAAAATTTATATTCTCCTTATTGATTGCCCTATTAGCAATGAGATTTGGAGCTACATCAGGACAATTATAACTCCCAAATTACTCGCGATTGCTCTTCTCGACAAAGTTTTACTTGATATTATAATGACATAGAAATTCAACCCTGTTCAATTATATGCAACAATGGTGAGTTCATATTTATGTTATCTTACTGTTCCTCGAGAGTACTATGATATTTCAGTATAAATCTTCTAGCGTTCTATCACGAATGCCGTTCTCTGATTGACTAAGCTACTCACTATCTTTTCTGTGATAGTTAGTGAGTAGCGTAGCACTGTGCCCTTGTTGACAAAATGACGGCCGCTACTTGGCGTTTTCGAAGTGTCTGTGAAGAGGATTTTAAATAAAGGTTTGAACGATTAGTAGATTTATACTAAAACAAGAAGATTATTCGCTCTCGATTTCTGCGCGTGATAGAAATCTCGAGCTCATAATCTAATTGTTTATCATATTTTGTACGTTAATAAGTTTTTGTTGCAATAAGACAAATCAAACACGCCGGGTCAGCTCTCGCCAAAAAAAA